TATGGCATTTTTTGCCGTTTTTTAGAACCTACTAGACACTCCCAAAACCTCCCTAAACACGAGGATCGGCACCTTTCGACCGCCACTTCCGTTGTGGATCTGGTCGAACCTATAATGAGTTTACTAAAAATGTTCTTTATCTTCTTGAAACTGTGTCGTGTTCTATTTCTATTGTTTATCCAACACAATGTAGTGCAACTTAACAATCACTTAGCTTTCTTTCACTTTTATTCTAATAGTTGATATGCGCTTACATCTAGCGTTTCGGCTAAATACGCCCCTCTTCAGTCAACTAAAATTATTAAGAATAAAAAATTATTTTAACATACAATACTTTAAAATTCTTAAAGGGTGTAGACAAATTAGTTAACTCACCAGCATATCTGGATATTACTAGTTCAGCAATCTGAACAAGGTTTCACATATATATTATACGCATTCGACTTACATAGTTATTCTGGCATGTCTGTTTTTGCAAAATATATCATTACAGTATTTGTATTATTAACTATTATATTATATTGTTTCACATATTCACTATTAACATGCCTTCTTTAATCCGTTCTTTATCTTACACGATAAAATTACGATAAGGAAGAGTACACGGTTAACATGATATACCTTTCCAACTAAAATTTCAATTTTATATTGTTAGTTATAAAAAATTCAGTTAATATAAATATTCTCGCGTGATGACATACCTGCTATAAACTTGTATTCCTTTTTTATTCACGATAATCCAAAAAAGGCACAGGAACAAAACTTGTATTTCACTAATAAATAATCATTTTTGGGTTAAATTCTACTTGGCTAATATTGGTTATAGTTATACAATCTTCTAACCGTTAAAGTTATTTCTTCATTTCTGATCCGGTTTTTCCTCTTTCTACCTTACATCACCATAGTGCTCATTAGCATATTCTATAGTCTTAAGTTAATTAATGCTGAATTGAATATTTCATATTTTATTTTTCATGACTATTGTTGAAAAAATTTTTATTATACAGTACTGTATATTAATTTTTTATAATATTTTAAACCAATTTTCGTTTATTTTTACATTTAGATTTTTATTTATACTATTTCGGCTTTTAAAAATTTTAACACTCCTTAAACTTTCTGTTATATATTTTTGGCTCTATGTAAAATTTTTATATTATTTATCAATGTAATATTGATCATATATTATATTATATGATCAATATTACAATTATTTGTTGTACAATGATCATGAAAGAAAGCCAAGTGATCGTTAAGTTGCACTACATTGTGTTGGATAAACAATAAATATGTTCTGTTTGTGTCCACGGGGGAGAAAGAGTTTAAAAAAAATAACATTTCGACGGTCCTGATTACACATTATTCTTCTGTCATAATTAAATGCAACAGCAAAAACAATTGGGCTACAATTTGAAAAACTTGTTGTTTGTTAAGCTATAGCAATGCTACACTTGGGCGATCTGCCTGGGGATGCCTTCTGGGAGGTCTTTTTAAGGGAAACTGGCCCCTATTTAGGCGTGGAGAAAATCCGGAAAACTCCACGTGGTTATTCCGTCCGAGCGAGGCGCGAACCCACCACCGAACTCCCAGTGTTCAGGGTACGAAGCAACGGCGGCGTATTCGTAGGTGGCATTGTACGAAGACCAATGGGCCAATGGTGGGACTTGAAAAATTGTAGATCTCGTAGAACTCGTATAATTCGGTAAAACGTCATCGCGGAATCGTGTTGCGACAGGATTGGTCGAATCTAGACCAATAGCGGATATTGTACAAACCATTGAGTTTAAACGAGCAACGGATCTACTAAAAACCATTTATTATTTAACGTCCTTAAAAATTATATTTATGTTAATGATGTCTTCAAAGTTCAGCGAATTTTTCGCAAAAAAAATAATTTATTAGGAAGCACGCGAGCGCCATTCGATGACAAGCTCCACGACGAAAACAAGCTTAAGCAATGGCGTAGTCGAACGGTGCACACTCGGTAAGTAATCCTACAATTTTTTGTTTATAGCATAGTTTATATGGATTATTCCCAAAAAATTATACGTATTTTGAAAATGTTGAGTGGAATTAGTCTAGAATCGATTAATTTTATGGAAGAAACCTTTCAAACAGCCGTAGTCCATAAACTGCACACTTGCCGGGATGTGATTGGCTCATGTATTTAAGGACTCGAAGAAAATGGATTCATAAAAACCAGAACGTATCAACCGTGTTATAGGGGGGTCGACTGTAATTTAATTTAAAATATATGTTCTCCATTTCAAATTAGTAGTGTCTTGCCCCTGTACATCATACTTTTCCGTTAGCATCTATTAACTGCTTTTGAGCAGGGGGTTTTGAATTGAAATAACTTAACTTCCGGTTTGCATCGAAAGTTCATATATAGTTTATTGGGGCCTCCTGTCCCTAAAGTTTCCATATCTGGTCTCACATTTCATCTAACTCCGTTCTCGAGATTAAGACAGTGCGAATTAATAGGTGTAATATTTTCAAATTGTGACGGATAGGAAAGCTCATAATGTCAATCGGAAAAATCCAGCTCTGACTCTGACATGAGAAAATTTGGAAATAAATGTAGCATTCCTTCGAAAGCAAAATTTTTGCGTTGTAAGTAATGTTGACCTTAGGTAATAAATGAATGAACTTCACGTTTTCTCACTGTCTTTGTGTTCTGTAGGAACATTTGGGAGGGAGATTGTTCTCCCTCCCCAACTTTACCACCAAGAGGACGAAGTGGCCATTTATCGTACAAGTGAATATTTTCCGAAATCTCCGATGGTAAGAACTCTTTCGTTTCATTAATGGGACGTTCACAGATTCCGTTAGAACAATGAATGTGAAAGCCTGAAGATGGCCTATCCAAATAGGCTGAAAACGTTTGGAATAAAGAAAAACTCGGCAAATATAATCAGGTTTATTTAATAGTATATAACGGGTGGCCAACCTGCGGCTCGCGAGCCACATGCGGCTCTTTGAAGGATTATTTGTGGCTTTCGATAAATGTACCCGAGTTCCCTTTTCATTTTTGTGTTATTATATTTTAAAAAATTATTATCGTTCCGTATGTGTTTCAAAATGTCTTTTAAATCACTAACCGAATTATTTCAATATTCGGAACAACGTACTTATGTGAATCATTTTATTTCACTTTAAAATTCGTGAAATCCAAACACCGATCAGTATTAACTAACCAGCATCTGAAAGAATTACTCAGAAGTGCTGTCAACAATTATTCACCAAATTTTAAAGAATTATCAAAAGAAGTAAAATAAATGTATTTAATTTTTAATATTTAAATTCAATACACATATTTTGTACTTTTATTTATATGTTTTCAATAAATATAATTTCTGTAAAAAAATTTTNCAGAAGAAGATAGATAGAATTATATTTCACTGCTTAGAAATGAAAAATAATGCCTCGGCCGAAACAACTTGAAAGGTTAGAAATGTACGAAGCCTTCGGGAGAAGGACGGTAGTTCACTTCGCGGAGTCAGGCTAGAGAGCGTATAAAAAGTTATAAGTGAAGGTTTCTCCCAATAGCGAATGGTGATATCTATCACGTCTTTCTTAATTACGCATAATTAACAGAGATCGAGATTAAAACAGTTCTCTTTATTTCGCCTATTTAACAATGCATTTTGGATTGGTAATTTTCCAATCACTTCGGGCTGACGACTTCAGATCTAAAGTTGTCTGTAACATAAAAGACAAAAGGTTAGTTCGTCTTAAAATATATTTGTGTTATCCACAATGATGGATATAGTGCACAGTTCGTGCACATCCTAATGGTGTATCAGTCTCTTGCACTTACTGGCATGTTTTCTTTGTCTATTTTTCATGGGCAAATGCAACGCTTCTTCCATTTCTCACAATTATTAACTCCTTATTACCTCTTAGAAGAATTTTAACTTCAATATTGCGGTTGGTAACGTGACAAACGTCAAAATGTGGTTTTTAATTGCAAATATTTTCACAAATTGAAAGCAAAGTTTTCACAAACAAACTATAACTGCGAGCAATTATTTATACATGGTCACAATGCTAGGCTGCAATTTGTAATCGTATTTTTAATTTTTACTGTCGTCCGTCCGTCCGTCCTTCATTAATCTCGAGAATGATGTTACATAAATGAAAGTCTAGACTAGATTTGGAAAGCTCGTGGGCAGGAGGCCTTGATTAACTATATATGAACTTCCAATGTGACCGGAATTCAAGTTATTTCAATTTCAAAATTTTTCCCTGAAAAGTGTTAGAAAGATGATCGGCACGACTCTATTGTTAAAGGAAAAGTATGATATACAGGATAAGCCACTACTAATTTGAAGTGGAGAGCATGTATTTTAAACAAAAGAAATTAAAAATATGATTAAAAATTGCAGCCCGGCATGGCATTGTGACGCTGTCACAATAAATACAGTAATTGAAATTCAATCCCATTAAGTGTTTTTATATTAAAAGGCAAGTAATAAGTATATCAAGTAATTAATGTGCTTATTAAATATTACTTTTATATTGTATCATACAGAGTATTTACTTTCTAAATTTATAATTTAATTCAAAATCATTGGTATTTGTATAAAATTATTATTACTTTTTTGGCATCTACAGTATATGACATTAATAGCATCGAGAAAAACGAATCCAAACCCGTGACATTCTATGATTGCTAAAAAAAAGAACTTATCCGGCATAGAAAAATAATTTTATATAAGTTTCTTGTGAGTAATATCGCTCGTTGACAATAAAATGAATTTTATTAATTTCACTATAAATAAATATGATATCGATAAAACAAATATGCATCATCTATTTGCTTTAATTAATTTACACATATGTATTTAAATATGTATGTGGATAAATTTTCAGTATTTGATTCATTATCATTTCGAGAATCTATAATATATTTTATATACACATTCATAAAACAGTAATAAAATCTAAACTATATTTTCCGGTGGCGCGTCGGAGAAAACACTAATCGGCGGCCATCGTTTACTGTAGAAGTACTGTATATTTGTATGCATCGTTTCAATTTAAAGGAATTTCTAGATTACAATTTTTCATTTTATTTTCTTGCCTAATATCACTTATGATGGAGTTTTTAAAATAATTAATGTATTAAATTGATAATTAGCATAATATTTATAAATTAATCGAAAATGAATCAATGGAAGTCCGCTGGGGGAAGATTTACTGCATCACAAACAAACTATTTTGGGTAAGTGACGTCATGATGTGGATCATATGTTTATTTAACATTGCAGAGGAGGTAAACAAGTGCTTACTGCAAGAAAATGTTTCATATTTCAAAGTTAATGAAATGTTAGGTTATCGAATTCTTTTACTAATAACTTCATAATTTTCTTTCAATAATAAATATATTCTTTGATTACTTTTTAATTAAATATTTTCCCCGAAATTATATATTTTTTCCTTACCGTATATATATATATGCAAGATGAAAACTGTTTATGTTCATTCAGTTGTTCAATATACTTATATACTTGAAATAATTAAATATATTGTTTTATATTGTCTAGAAATTAAAAAAAAACCATTTGTTTAAACAGTTATGCTATTTTGATTAAATTTATTTAGAATTTAAACAGTATTTTTTTATTACTATTAATTGGATGAAAAAACAGGTAAAAATAGCTAATTTATTAATTATGATCTAATTTCAATTCATTTGCAATTTCCATTTAATTATATTAAAGTTTTCAAGCTAAATTGGTTTACAGTAATAAATATTAATTACTAAAACAAAATTTACAATTATTTTAATATGCGTACCTTTCTTTTAATGCATTATTTACTTGGTTTTCTATTTGTACTCTGATGTTTGTGTTTCTGATGGACTAATATTCCATAATGATTCAGTTGTCTATCTAGTGCTACCACCCATTTAGTTTTCACCCGGACAGTCTGGGAATCGACTCACTGTTCGGATAAACTATTAATTTTGTCCAGGAATATTGTGCGCAACCTGCCAACCTTTTTTTTTTTCTTTTTTGCTTGTACGATTCGTATTCATACACTTCTCCAATATCCAATAGAGCTGTCATCTAGGTTACTTACGTTACTCCTACCCAAGTCTCCCTAGTCCCTAACTGTAACTGATTTAGAACCGGCATGCACTGCATGTTATTCTTCGCATTGCAAAATGACATTATGCATGCGTCAGGAACTTCTGTTCAAACAAACCTCACCTGCTGTCCGAGTCAGCGTTTTTAAAAAGGTGGCAATACTATGTCTATCTCAATGATGGCCAATTTCTTCAAACTCAAGGATGGCAACATACAACTTTTGAATTGATAAGGACTGCTCTTTGACATACTGTATGTGTAACTTCCCACCTACCTCTACAAAAATTACCAAACAAAGCTCTTTTCCATAACACTGTTATAAGAAAGCATAAAATGTTGGGCAATTAGATTAAAAAGACATTAATAATGATAAAGTACATTTTACTTTACCTTTACTTATTGTCAATAATCTGAATACTATGGCATTCATGAGAATTAACCAGTTCTTATAACTGATACAGTTGCTTTTAAACAGTGCTTTACTTAATGTGATTATTGAAAAACATACATGCTGAAATATACCATCATTGTCTGTCTTCTGAAGGGCTGAAGAAACTACATTTATTTCTCCAAATAATCCTTGCTACAGAGATACAGAGATGCACTTGTTTCAGTTTTTGACTGATGTCTGGATACCAACAGCATAGGTTTTGTCAGCATTTCTGAACTAGGATCAGAAAACCTCTTGAACAATATTATTGCTGGAGAAATGTTACTTACTTAATCTTTTAGTAAAAATCGCCAAGAAAAAGTTGTTGGATAAAAATCCAGATGATAATGAATGCTGTGGCTGTCACCTTTCTTATAGCTGTCACTGATTAGAATATTTTTGGCTAGAGTAAGTCTACATACCTCCACTGTTTGAATTTTTATTTTTATTTCAGAGAATGGTGATGGGTTCAGATTTCATCACAAGTCCAAGAAAACTTATCACGAGTCCAAGAAAGACATATTATAGTCCAAGAAAACTTGGCCTTCACAATTGAAATATTTCTTCAAGGCAGATTTGCACTCTCATCTCACAAGTCAGTCAAAAGAGGCAAGTTGTTTTGTTATCCAGTGTGCTCTAACCTTCCAGAAATTCTGATGATAATGAACGATGACATTGAGAATACTCAGACTAAGATCTGTCTGCTATTCGCGTTTTTCACCGGATGCTCGCCCTCTGGTGTTTAAAAACAGAACTACTCTATCTGGGTCGTTTGAATGTTCTTCGTAAATTGTCAACAGTAAAGATGAATAGTAAAAGTAAAAGTAAAGCTTTCTGTTGTGTTTCAAATTGTAATTCCAAAGCCATACGCAATCCCGATATAAGTTTTCATGTGTTCCCACATGAAAAACAGATGATTTTTCGTAAATCAAAATTCGGAGAATCTCAGAAATGTAACCGACGGAAAGAGTGGATTCGACTGCTAAGAATTGGCAAAAAAGTTACGAAGTATATGATAGTATGTTCAAAACATTTTACTCCTGAAGATTATATTTTGTCATGTATGCTATCATGTTTTTATAAATATGTTTAGATTATTGTAATTCGATAGTATTAAAAAATCAAACTGAAAAAGATTGCATAGAGTCTAAGTATANCACTTGTTTCAGTTTTTGACTGATGTCTGGATACCAACAGCATAGGTTTTGTCAGCATTTCTGAACTAGGATCAGAAAACCTCTTGAACAATATTATTGCTGGAGAAATGTTACTTACTTAGTCTTTTAGTAAAAATCGCCAAGAAAAAGTTGTTGGATAAAAATCCAGATGATAATGAATGCTGTGGCTGTCACCTTTCTTATAGCTGTCACTGATTAGAATATTTTTGGCTAGAGTAAGTCTACATACCTCCACTGTTTGAATTTTTATTTTTATTTCAGAGAATGGTGATGGGTTCAGATTTCATCACAAGTCCAAGAAAACTTATCACGAGTCCAAGAAAGACATATTATAGTCCAAGAAAACTTGGCCTTCACAATTGAAATATTTCTTCAAGGCACATTTGCACTCTCATCTCACAAGACAGTCAAAAGAGGCAAGTTGTTTTGTTATCCAGTGTGCTCTAACCTTCCAGAAATTTTGATGATAATGAATGATGACATTGAGAATTCTCAGACTAAGATCTGTCTGCTATAAGTTTACAGCAAGTTATATACTGGTTATTTAGGATACATGCATGCATGATGTTTCTGGGTATGATTGTGGTTGTATTGGAACTATCTCCAGTCAGAATCATCTCTCACTGATATACTGATTATATACAGATATATATATATATATATATATATATATATATAGATATATATATTATTGAAATGTTTGCACCATTCAAATGTCTTAATGCATCTGAGTCTCTCTTCACCATAGTGGGCTTGAAGTTATTGATGAATTTCTATTGGTTAGACATTTTCTATAAATAAGAAATTTCATGACAACATGCTATTCCAATCAAATACTCATATTGCTGTCTGCCAACTTGGATATTTCACTTTCACTTCATTTGGCATACACACATTATGTGTGGACTATATGGGGCATTTGCTCTGACTACCATCAAAGACTCAGAAATCTTGCATTCTTCATATCTCTGGACACAAGTCCTAGTTTTACTTAAACTATCTTGTGGTGTGATTACATGAAAAACAAGGAATATAAATAGAATTTATTATAACTCATAATTTTTATGTAATTTTGTATTTTAAAAAATTCACTTAAAAAACTACTTTTTTGTTTAACCCCTTTCATCCTTCTCCTATGGCTGGAAAAAAGAGAAAAGTAGAAGAAAATTGAGAACTTAGAAGTAAATGAACTGAATCCTATGCAGTTGTTGCAAATTTAACAGGATTTCCACTGTGTTTAATACTGTATGTCAAGAAAAGTTTTCTAATAACAAAAAATCAAATGTACATTTTTTAAATAAACATGAAGCCTTTGCAAACACTTATTGAGAGGGAGAAGAAAGGCAATTGAATAACTTCAACATAAAATGAATTTAAGTAAAGGTACATTTTCAAATTGGATAAAATCAAGTAATAATACAACTACTGCTAGTTTTGTTGCTGCTCTAGAAACAGTAAAACAGGGAAAGCCATTTATGAATGGCGATTTTGTGAAAGATTGTTTTATTAAAATGTCTGAATATCATTTTTGCGATTTTAAAAATAAAACGGAAATAATTGTTAAAATAAAAGACATGCCGTTGTCTGCTAAGATTGTAAGAGGTACCAACAGCATAGGTTTTGTCAGCATTTCTGAACTAGGATCAGAAAACCTCTTGAACAATATTATTGCTGGAGAAATGTTACTTACTTAATCTTTTAGTAAAAATCGCCAAGAAAAAGTTGTTGGATAAAAATCCAGATGATAATGAATGCTGTGGCTGNGTTTTATTAAAATGTCTGAATATCATTTTTGCGATTTTAAAAATAAAACGGAAATAATTGTTAAAATAAAAGACATGCCGTTGTCTGCTAAGATTGTAAGAGGTAGAACTGTTTATATTAAGAGGTAGAACTGTTTGTATGGCAGATGATGTGACTATTCAGCAGGTTACAGATTTAAATTCAACATCAGGATTTTCTGTTGCCTGTAATGAATCTTGTGGTGTGAATGATATTGCACAGGTTGTACTTATTTGTAGATATGTTAACTCTGCTGATGGATCTCAGGAAGAGTTACTTCATATACTGCCACTTACAGGACAAACTTGAGGTGAGGATATAGAATCTGCTGTTACCAATTGTTTGAAAAGTAAAAATATTGATATTAATAAAATAGTATCAATTGCAACTGATGGAGCACCAAGTATGAAAGATGAAAAAAAAAAGGTTTTGTTTCTATGTTTAAAAAACAAATTTTGCATGACTTTTTTTGTTTCACTGCATAATCCATCAAGAGGCACTTTGTTCGCAAACCTTTCCAAAGGAAATAACATTAGTTATGGACCTGGTTGTACAAATTGTGAACAAAATAATGGCAAGACCACTGTATCATTGGCAATTTTGTGAACTACTTAAGGAAGTCAATGGCCAATATTCTGATCTTTTACACAATAATGTAAGGTGACTTTCCAGAAGAGCAGTGTTAGAGATTTACTACTTGTATTGAAGAAGTAAAATTATTTTTAAACAGAAAAGGTCTTGA